TCATCAGCTCTATCAGCAGCTAGCCACGCGCTAAACCCGCTTCGTGAAAGCGTTTCTCTTTCCTCACGACCAGCTTCATCCATTCAAGACGCAGAGGACCATCGCATGAGGCGACGCTGTCAGTTGCCTGAAGAAGGTCCACTCGACAATTTCAACCGAGAAGGTGGATTCTATCTTAGCAATCATTGGAAAGATTTGATAAACCATGTCAGGTCTAAATTGATTGTTCACGCTTACAGTGGCTTTCAGACAGCGTACATTATAAAATAAAACATTTCGTCTCCCCCCCTCCTCTTTTCAGAATGTAGATGGACTAGTCCTGGGCAAATTGCCAAATCGCTGCGCGTGGCGCTAATGTTTTTTTTATAAATAAATAAAGGCGCCGTTTAAAAATTAATTTATGCAAACCAACACACACCTGAAGATGACCGTTTGAGTTATGGTCGAAACGTCCGTGAGAATTTTTTAATTGTTTTATATATATATTGTATTATTTTGTTGTTTCTCTTCAACGTGGTGACTTTACCGAAAAAAACTAAGAATATGAATTACTGCAGTCACGAAAGCTTTAAATCAAAATTTTAAACATTATTATTTCGCGTCCCTGGTTAGTCAGTGTTATTTTTGCTAATTGCTTATGCCTCAAGAGTACATAAATGGCTGTTATTCACCACAAACATTTGCTTTTGTGATCAAGACCGGTGGACATTGAAGACAGGAGAGTGAACCTATTCATCTTCTTTGGTTCTTTCGGTAAAGTCACCACGTAGAATGAGAATGAAATAATAAATTGACGAAATAAAATGACACAATAATATCATATTCTTAGTTGTTTTTTCGGTAAAGTCACGTTGAAGAGAAACAATAAAATAATAAAATATATATGTAAAACAATAAAACAAATAAAAAATTCTCACGACGTCGTGAGAATGGTCGAAACGTCGTGAGAATTTTTTTATATTTTTTATTGTTTTATATATATTTTATTATTTTGTTGTTTCCCTTCAACGTGGTGACTTTACCGAAAAAACTAAGAATATGAAGAAGGTCCACTCGCTTTCGAGCAGAAACGTCGAGATAATTTTTTTGACTTTCTCTGACGTACTGCTTTGGTTCGTGTGTTTTATGACCTACCACGTGACTGTCTTATCGCCGTCGTTTTAATATATAAAAAAAATGTTTTTGCTTGCATCGCTCCGAAGCTGCGTTTGCTACAGTTGATTTAATTTTCATTCGAAAGCTTTCGTGAATGCAAAGGTGGGTGGGTGGTGGTGTGGGTGGTGGGTTTCATGTTCTTAATTCTTTCAGTAAAAGTCACCACCACGTGATGGTGTTAGTTAGGTATTTATGGTAAAAGGTGGTGAACTTCTAAACATAGGAATAGGTTTTTACCCTTTTAACTGGCACAAAAACTGACACCTTTATTCAAGGCATCATGTAAAGGTGGTGAACTTCTAAACAATTAAAGATCTACAGCTGGAGGTGATGGTGTTAATGAGGTATTGATGCTAAAGGTGGTGAACTTCTAAACAATTAAAGATCTACAGCTGGAGGTGATGGTGTTAGTGAAGGTATTGATGGTAAAAGTTGGTGAACTTCTAAACAATTAAAGATCTACAGCTGGAGGTGATGGTGTTAGTGGGGTATTGATGTTAAAGTTGGTGAACTTCTAAACAATTAAAGATCTACAGCTGGAGGTGATGGTGTTAGTGGGGTATTCATGGTAAAAGGTGGTGAACTTCTAAACAATTAAAGTTCTACAGCTGGAGGTGATGGTGTTAGTGAGGGTATTTATGGTAAAAGTTGGTGAACTTCTAAACAATTAAAGATCTACAGCTGGAGGTGATGGTGTTAGTGGGGTATTGATGCTAAAGTTGGTGAACTTCTCACCAATTAAAGATCTACAGCTGGAGGTGATGGTGTTAGTGGGGTATTGATGCTAAAGTTGGTGAACTTCTCACCAATTAAAGATCTACAGCTGGAGGGTGATGGTGTTAGTGAGGTATTTATGGTAAAAGTTGGTGAACTTCTCACCAATTAAAGATCTACAGCTGGAGGTGATGGTGTTAGTAGGGTATTGATGTTAAAGGTGGTGAACTTCTAAACAATTAAAGATCTACAGCTGGAGGTGATGGTGTTAGTGGGGGTATTGATGTTAAAAGGTGGTGAACTTCTAAACAATAAAAGATCTACAGCTGGAGGTGATGGTGTTAGTGGGGTATTGATGTTAAAGTTGGTGAACTTCTAAACAATTAAAGATCTACAGCTGGAGGGTGATGGTGTTAGTGGGGTATTGATGGTAAAAGTTGGTGAACTTCTAAACAATTAAAGATCTACAGCTGGAGGTGATGGTGTTAGTGAGGTATTTATGGTAAAGAAGGTGGTGAACTTCTAAACAATTAAAGATCTACAGCTGGAGGTGATGGTGTTAGTGGGGTATTGATGTTAAAGGTGATGAACTTCTAAACAATTAAAGATCTACAGCTGGAGGGTGATGGTGTTAGTGGGGTATTGATGTTAAAGTTGGTGAACTTCTAAACAATTAAAGATCTACAGCTGGAGGTGATTGTGTTAGTGGGGTATTCATGGTAAAAGTTGGTGAACTTCTAAACAATTAAAGATCTACAGCTGGAGGTGATTGTGTTAGTGGGGTATTCATGGTAAAAGTTGGTGAACTTCTAAACAATTAAAGATCTACAGCTGGAGGTTGATGGTGTTAGTGAGGGTGTTGATGGTAAAAGTTGGTGAACTTCTAAACAATTAAAGATCTACAGCTGGAGGTGATGGTGTTAGTGAGGTATTCATGGTAATGGTGGTGAACTTCTAAACAATTAAAGATCTACAGCTGGAGGTTGATGGTGTTAGTGAGGGTGTTGATGGTAAAAGTTGGTGAACTTCTAAACAATTAAAGATCTACAGCTGGAGGTGATGGTGTTAGTGAGGTATTCATGGTAATGGTGGTGAACTTCTAAACAATTAAAGATCTACAGCTGGAGGGTGATGGTGTTAGTGAGGTATTTATGTTAAAGGTGATGAACTTCTCACCAATTAAAGATCTACAGCTGGAGGGTGATGGTGTTAGTGGGGTATTTATGGTAAAAGGTGGAGAACTTCTAAACAATTAAAGATCTACAGCTGGAGGGTGATGGTGTTAGTGAGGTATTTATGGTAAAAGTTGGTGAACTTCTAAACAATTAAAGAACTACAGCTGGAGGTGATGGTGTTAGTAGGGTATTTATGGTAAAAGTTGGTGAACTTCTAAACAATTAAAGATCTACAGCTGGAGGTGATGGTGTTAGTGGGGTATTTATGGTAAAGTTGGTGAACTTCTAAACAATTAAAGATCTACAGCTGGAGGTGATGGTGTTAGTGGGGTATTGATGGTAGAGGTGATGACCTTCTAAACAATTAAAGATCTACAGCTGGAGGTGATGGTGTTAGTGGGGTATTTATGGTAAAAGGTGGAGAACTTCTAAACAATTAAAGATCTACAGCTGGAGGGTGATGGTGTTAGTGAGGTATTTATGGTAAAAGTTGGTGAACTTCTAAACAATTAAAGAACTACAGCTGGAGGTGATGGTGTTAGTGGGGTATTTATGGTAAAAGTTGGTGCACTTCTAAACAATTAAAGATCTACAGCTGGAGGTGATGGTGTTAGTGGGGTATTGATGGTAGAGGTGATGACCTTCTAAACAATTAAAGATCTACAGCTGGAGGTGATGGTGTTAGTGGGGTATTTATGGTAAAAGGTGGAGAACTTCTAAACAATTAAAGATCTACAGCTGGAGGGTGATGGTGTTAGTGAGGTATTTATGGTAAAAGTTGGTGAACTTCTAAACAATTAAAGAACTACAGCTGGAGGTGATGGTGTTAGTGGGGTATTTATGGTAAAAGTTGGTGAACTTCTAAACAATTAAAGATCTACAGCTGGAGGGTGATGGTGTTAGTGGGGTATTTATGGTAAAAGTTGGTGAACTTCTAAACAATTAAAGATCTACAGCTGCAGGGTGATGGTGTTAGTGAGGGTATTGATGTTAAAGTTGGTGAACTTCTAAACAATTAAAGATCTACAGCTGGAGGGTGATGGTGTTAGTGAAGGTATTTATGGTAAAAGTTGGTGAACTTCTAAACAATTAAAGATCTACAGCTGCAGGGTGATGGTGTTAGTGAGGGTATTGATGTTAAAGTTGGTGAGCTTCTAAACAATGAAAGATCTACAGCTGGAGGTGATGGTGTTAGTGGGGTATTGATGTTAAGGGTGGTGAACTTCTAAACAATTAAAGATCTACAGCTGGAGGTGATGGTGTTAGTGGGGTATTGATGGTAAGGGTGGTGAACTTCTAAACAATTAAAGATCTACAGCTTGAGGTAATGGTGTTAGTGGGGTATTAATGGTAAAGTTGGTGAACTTCTAAACAATTAAAGATCTACAGCTGGAGGTGATGGTGTTAGTGGGGTATTGATGCTAAAGTTGATGAACTTCTAAACAATTAAAGATCTACAGCTGGAGGTGATGGTGTTAGTGGGGTATTTATGGTAAAAGTTGGTGAACTTCTAAATAATTAAAGATCTACAGCTTGAGGTAATGGTGTTAGTGAAGGTATTTATGGTAAAAGTTGGTGAACTTCTAAACAATTAAAGATCTACAGCTGGAGGGTGATGGTGTTAGTGGGGTATTGATGCTAAAGTTGGTGCATGGGCGAGATTTAAAAAAAAGCACCATCACCAAATCACGACGTTTCGGGGGAGGCGGCTGTGGAGTGAATCTCCTGAAGAAGGTTACTCGTGTTAGGATCGAAACGTCGTGAGTTTGGTTGATTTTATCTTTTCTTTTTACCAATTTTTAACCCATCCACGTTGACTCATCAATCGCAAAGGAGCCACCTCCCAACAGATGGAAACACGAAATCCTCACAAGTCAAAGAAAGTGAGGATTTGACGCTTCAACAAAAACGAGAAACGTTTGTGATGGAATCGAGGAGGGGGGGAGAGGATTTTACCTTCTGTGGTGGAGGAGGTGGAGGAGATGGTGGATGGGGGAGAGAGAGAGACGCGGGGAGAGAGAGAGAGAGACACGGGGAGAGAGAGACACGTGGAAAGAGAGAGACACGGGGAGAGAGACACGGCGAGAGACGGGGAGAGAGAGACACGGGGAGAGAGAGAGAGACATGGGGAGAGAGACACGGGGAGAGAGACACGGGGAGAGAGAGACACGGGGAGAGAGACACGGGGAGAGAGAGACACGGGGAGAGAGACACGGGGAGAGAGAGACACGGGGAGAGAGAGAGACACGGGGGGAGAGAGAGACACGGGGGGAGAGAGAGAGAGACACGGGGGGAGAGAGAGAGAGACGGGGAGAGAGAGACACAGGGAGAGAGAGACACGGAGAGAGAGACACGGGGAGAGAGAGACACGGGGAGAGAGAGAGACACGGGGGGAGAGAGAGAGAGACACGGGGGGAGAGAGAGAGAGACGGGGAGAGAGAGACACAGGGAGAGAGAGACACGGAGAGAGAGACACGGGGAGAGAGAGACACAGGGAGAGAGAGACACGGGGAGAGAGAGAGACACGGGCAGATAGAGAGAGAGACACGGGGAGAGAGAGAGGGACGGGGTGAGAGAGAGACACGGGGAGAGAGAGACACGGAGAGAGAGACACGGGGAGAGAGAGACACAGGGAGAGAGAGACACGGGGAGAGAGAGACACGGGCAGATAGAGAGAGAGACACGGGGAGAGAGAGAGACACGGGGAGAGAGAGACACGGGGAGAGAGAGACACGGGGAGAGAGAGACACACGGGGAGAGAGAGACACGGGGAGAGAGAGACACGGGGAGAGAGACACGGGGAGAGAGACACGGGGAGAGAGAGAGACACGGGGGGAGAGAGCGAGAGAGACACGGGGAGAGAGAGACACGGGGAGAGAGAGACACGGGGAGAGAGAGACACGGGGAGAGAGAGACGCGGGGAGAGAGAGAGAGAGACGGGGAGAGAGAGAGAGAGACACGGGGAGAGAGAGAGACACGTGGGGAGAGAGAGACACGGGGAGAGAGAGACACGGGGAGAGAGACACGGGGAGAAAGAGAGACACGGGGAGAGAGAGAGACACGGGGAGAGAGAGAGAGACACGGGGAGAGAGAGACACGTGGGAGAGACACACGGGAAGAGAGAGAGACACGGGGAGAGAGAGACACGGGGTGGGAGAGAGACACGGGGAGAGAGAGACACGGGGAGAGAGAGACACGGGGAGAGAGACACGAGAGAGAGAGACACGGGGAGAGAGAGACACGGGGAGAGAGAGACACACGGGGAGAGAGACACACGGGGAGAGAGAAACACGGGGAGAGAGAGACACGGGGAGAGAGAGACACGAGGAGAGAGAGACACGGGGAGAGAGACACGGGGAGAGAGACACGAGGAGAGAGAGACACGTGGAGAGAGAGACACGGGGAGAGAGAGACACGGGGAGAGAGACACGGGGAGAGAGACACGGGGAGAGAGAGAGACACGTGGAGAGAGAGACACGGGGAGAGAGACACGGGGAGAGACGGGGAGAGAGACACGGGGAGAGAGAGACACACGGGGAGAGAGAGAGACACGGGGAGAGAGAGACACACGGGGAGAGAGAGACACACGGGGACAGACGGGGAGAGACACGTGGAGAGAGAGAGACACGGGGACAGAGAGAGATGGGGAGAGAGAGACACGGGGAGAGAGAGACACACGGGGAGAGAGATACACGGGGAGAGAGAGACACGGGGAGAGAGAGAGAGACACGGGGAGAGAGAGAGAGACATGGGGAGAGAGAGAGACACGGGGAGAGAGAGACACGGGGAGAGAGAGAAACGGGGAGAGAGAGAGACATGGGGAGAGAGAGAGACACGGGGAGAGAGAGAGACATGGGGAGAGAGAGAGACATGGGGAGAGAGAGAGACACGGGAGAGAGAGACACGGGGAGAGAGAGAGACACGGGGAGAGAGAGAGACACGGGGAGAGAGACACGGGGAGAGAGAGACACGGGGAGAGAGAGACACGGGGAGAGAGAGAGAGACATGGGGAGAGAGAGACACGGGGAGAGAGAGACACGGTGGGAGAGAGACACGGGGAGAGAGAGAGACATGGGGAGAGAGAGACACGGGGAGAGAGAGAGAGAGAGACACGGGGAGAGAGAGACACGGGGAGAGAGAGAGACACGGGGAGAGAGAGAGACATGGGGAGAGAGAGACACGGGGAGAGAGAGAGACACGGTGGGAGAGAGACACGGGGAGAGAGAGAGAGAGAGACACGGGGAGAGACAGACACGGGGAGAGAGACAAGGGGAGGTAAATTATAAACAAATAAAAAGCAAACGAAAATCAAACAAAGCTGGAGTAAATGTGATAGTGGTTTATGATAGTGAAACTGTGAGTGAGTGAGTCTCTGAGTGAGTCTCTAAGTGAGTCTCTGAGTGAATCTCTGAATGAGTGAGTCTCTAAGTGAGTGTCTGAGTGAGTCTCTGAATGAGTGAGTCTCTGAGTGAGTGAGTCTCTGAGTGTGTGTCTGAGTGAGTCTCTAAGTGAGTCTCTGAGTGAGTCTCTGAATGAGTGAGTCTCTAAGTGAGTGTCTGAGTGAGTCTCTGAATGAGTGAGTCTCTGAGTGAGTCTCTGAGTGAGTCTCTGAGTGAGTGTCTGAGTGAGTGTCTGAGTGAGTCTCTGAGTGAGTCTCTGAGTGAGTGAGTGAGTCTCTGAGTGAGTCTCTGAGTGAGTGAGTCTGTGAGTGAGTGAGTCTCTGAGTGAGTCTCTGAGTGAGTCTCTGAGTGAGTCTCTGAGTGAGCCTCTGAGTGAGTCTCTGAGTGAGTGAGTCTCTGAGTGAGTCTCTGAGTGAGTATCTGAGTGAGTCTGTGAGTGAGTCTCTGAGTGAGTGTCTGAGTGAGTCTCTGAGTGAGTCTCTGAGTGAGTCTCTGAGTGAGTGAGTCTCTGAGTGAGTCTCTGAGTGAGTGAGTCTCTGAGTGAGTCTCTGAGTGAGTGAGTTTCTTAGTGAGTGTCTGAGTGAGTGAGTCTGTGAGTGAGTGAGTGTCTGAGTGAGTCTCTTAGTGAGTGTATGAGTGAGTGAGTCTGTGAGTGAGTGAGTGTCTGAGTGAGTCACTGAGTGAGTCTCTGAGTGAGTGAGTCTGTGAGTGAGTGAGTGTCTGAGTGAGTCTCTGAGTGAGTCTCTGAGTGAGTCTCTGAGTGAGTGAGTCTCTGAGTGAGTATCTGAGTGAGTCTCTGAGTGAGTGTCTGAGTGAGTCTCTGAGTAAGTGAGTGTCTGAGTGAGTCTCTGAGTGAGTCTCTGAGTGAGTCTCTGAGTGAGTGAGTCCCTCAGTGAGTGAGTCTCTGAGTGAGTCTCTGAGTGAGTCTCTGAGTGAGTCTCTGAGTGAGTGAGTGTCTGAGTGAGTCTCTGAGTGAGTCTCTGAGTGAGTGAGTCTCTGAGTGAGTGAGTCTCTGAGTGAGTCTCTGAGTGAGTGAGTCTCTGAGTGAGTGTCTGAGTGAGCCTCTGAGTGAGTGAGTCTCTGAGTGAGTGAGTCTCTGAGTGAGTGAGTCTCTGAGTGAGTCTCTGAGTGAGTGAGTCTCTGAGTGAGTGAGTCTCTGAGTGAGTCTCTGAGTGAGTGTCTGAGTGAGTCTCTGAGTGAGTCTCTGAGTGAGTGAGTCTCTGAGTGAGTGAGTCTCTGAGTGAGTCTCTTTGTGAGTGTCTGAGTGAGTCTCTGAGTGAGTCTCTGAGTGAGTCTCTCAGTGAGTCTCTGAGTGAGTGTCTGAGTGAGTGAGTCTCTGAGTGAGTCTCTTAGTGAGTGTCTGAGTGAGTCTCTGAGTGAGTCTCTGAGTGAGTGTCTGAGTGAGTCTCTGAGTGAGTCTCTTAGTGAGTCTCTGAGTGAGTCTCTGAATGAGTGAGTCCCTGAGTGAGTGAGTCTCTGAGTGAGTCTCTCAGTGAGTCTCTGAGTGAGTCTCTGAGTGAGTGAGTCCCTGAGTGAGTCTCTTAGTGAGTGTCTGAGTGAGTCTCTGAGTGAGTCTCTGAGTGAGTCTCTTAGTGAGTCTCTTAGTGAGTCTCTGAGTGAGTCTCTGAGTGAGTGTCTGAGTGAGTGAGTCTCTGAGTGAGTGAGTCTCTGAGTGAGTGAGTCTCTGAGTGAGTCTCTTAGTGAGTGTCTGAGTGAGTCTCTGAATGAGTCTCTGAGTGAGAGTCTGAGTGAGTGTCTGAGTGAGTGAGTCTCTGAGTGAGTCTCTGAGTGAGTCTCTGAGTGAGTGAGTCTCTGAGTGAGTCTCTGAGTGAGTGTCTGAGTGAGTGAGTCTCTGAGTAAGTGAGTGTCTGAGTGAGTGAGTCTCTGAGTGAGTCTTTGAGTGAGTGAGTGTCTGAGTGAGTGAGTCTCTGAGTGAGTCTCTGAGTGAGTCTCTGAGTGAGTGTCTGAGTGAGTGAGTCTCTGAGTGAGTGAGTGTCTGAATGAGTCTGTGAGTGAGTGAGTCTCTGAGTGAGTCTCTGAGTGAGTCTCTGAGTGAGTCTCTGAGTGAGTGAGTCTCTGAATGAGCCTCTGAGTGAGTCTCTGAGTGAGTCTCTGAGTGAGTGAGTCTCTGAGTGAGTGAGTCTCTGAGTGAGTCTCTGAGTGAGTGAGTCTCAAAGTGAGTCTCTGAGTGAGTCTCTGAGTGAGTGAGTCTCTGAGTGAGTCTCTGAGTGAGTGAGTCTTTGAGTGAGTCTCTGAGTGAGTGAGTCTCTGAGTGAGCCTCTGAGTGAGTCTCTGAGTGAGTGAGTCTCTGATGAGTCTCTGAGTGATGTCTGAGTTAGTGAGTCTCTAAGTGAGTCTCTGATTGAGTCTCTGATTGAGTCTCTGAGTGAGTCTCTGAGTGAGTCTCTGAGTGAGTGAGTCTCTGAGTGAGTGAGTCTCTGAGTGAGTCTCTGAGTGAGTGAGTCTGTGAGTGAGTGAGTCTCTGAGTGAGTGAGTCTGTGAGTGAGTCTCTGAGTGAGTGAGTATCTGAGTGAGTGTCTGAGTGAGTCTCTGAGTGAGTCTCTGAGTGAGTGTCTGAGTGAGTCTCTGAGTGAGTGTCTGAGTGAGTCTCTGAGTAAGTGTCTGAGTGAGACTCTGAGTGAGTGAGTCTCTGAGTGAGTGAGTCTCTGAGTGAGTCTCTGAGTGAGTATCTGAGTGAGTCTCTGAGTGAGTGAGTGTCTGAGTGAGTGAGTCTCTGAGTGAGTCTCTGAGTGAGTCTCTGAGTGAGTGAGTCTCTGAGTGAGTGAGTCTCTGAGTGAGTGCTGAGTGAGTCTCTGAGTGAGTGAGTCTCTGAGTGAGTGACTCTGAGTGAGTCTCTGAGTGAGTCTCTGAGTGAGTGAGTGTCTGAGTGAGTGTCTGAGTGAATCTCTGAGTGAGTCTCTGAATGAGTCTCTGATTGAGTGAGTGTCTGAGTGAGTCTCTGAGTGAGTGTCTGAGTGAGTCTCTGAGTGAGTGAGTCTCTGAGTGAGTCTCTGAGTGAGTGAGTCTCTGAGTGAGTGTCTGAGTGAGTCTCTGAGTAAGTGTCTGAGTGAGACTCTGAGTGAGTGAGTCTCTGAATGAGTGAGTCTCTGAGTGAGTCTCTGAGTGAGTCTCTGAGTGAGTGAGTCTCTCAGTGAGTGAGTCTCTGAATGAGTCTCTGAGTGAGTCTCTGAGTGAGTCTCTGAGTGAGTCTCTGAGTGAGTGAGTCTCTGAGTGAGTGAGTCTCTGAGTGAGTCTCTGAGTGAGTCTCTGAGTGAGTGAGTCTCTGAGTGAGTCTCTGAGTGAGTCTCTGAGTGAGTGTCTGAGTGAGTCTCTGAGTGAGTGAGTCTCTGAGTGAGTGAGTCTCTGAGTGAGTGAGTCTCTGAGTGAGTCTCTGAGTGAGTCTCTGAGTGAGTGAGTCTCTGAGTGAGTCTCTGAGTGAGTCTCTGAGTGAGTCTCTGAGTGAGTGAGTGTCTGAGTGAGTGTCTGAGTGAATCTCTGAGTGAGTGAGTCTCTGAATGAGTCTCTGATTGAGTGAGTGTCTGAGTGAGTCTCTGAGTGAGTGAGTCTCTGAGTGAATCTGAGTGAGTCTCTGAGTGAGTCTCTGAGTGAGTGAGTCTCTGAGTGAGTGTCTGAGTGAGTCTCTGAGTGAGTGAGTCTCTGAGTGAGTGAGTCTCTGAGTGAGTGAGTCTCTGAGTGAGTCTCTGAGTGAGTGAATCTCTGAGTGAGTGAGTCTCTGAGTGAGTCTCTGAGTGAGTGTCTGAGTGAGTCTCTGAGTGAGTCTCTGAGTGAGTGAGTCTCTGAGTGAGTGAGTCTCTGAGTGAGTCTCTGAGTGAGTCTCTGAGTGAGTGAGTCTCTGAGTGAGTCTCTGAGTGAGTCTCTGAGTGAGTGTCTGAGTGAGTGTCTGAGTGAGTCTCTGAGTGAGTCTCTGAGTGAGTGAGTCTCTGAGTGAGTGAGTCTCTGAGTGAGTCTTTGAGTGAGTGAGTCTCTGAGTGAGCCTCTGAGTGAGTCTCTGAGTGAGTCTCTGAGTGATTGAGTCTCTGAGTGAGTCTCTGAGTGAGTCTCTGAATGAGTCTCTGAATGAGTCTCTGAGTGAGTGTCTCAGTGAGTGAGCCTCTGAGTGAGTGAGTGAGTCTCTGAGTGAGTGAGTCTCTGAGTGAGTGAGTCTCTGACTGAGTGAGTGTCTGAGTGAGTTTCTGAGTGAGTCTTTGAGTGAGTCTCTGAGTGAGTGAGTGTCTGAGTGAGTGTCTGACTGAGTGTCTAAGTGAGTGAGTCTCTGAGTGTGTCTCTGAGTGAGCGAGTGTCTGAGTGAGTCTCTGAGTGAGTGAGTCTCTGAGTGATTGTCTGAGTGAGTCTCTGAGTGAGTCTCTGAGTGAGTGAGTCTCTGAATGAGCCTCTGAGTGAGTCTCTGAGTGAGTCTCTGAGTGAGTCTCTGAGTGAGTGAGTCTCTGAGTGAGTCTCTGAGTGAGTCTCTGAGTGAGTGAGTCTCTGAGTGAGTGTTTGACTGTCTGAGTGAGTCTCTGATTGAGTCTCTGAGTGAGTGAGTGAGTGTCTGAGTGAGTCTATGAGTGAGTGTCTGAGTGAGTCTCTGAGTGAGTGAGTCTCTGAGTGAGTGAGTCTCTGAGTGAGTGAGTCTGTGAGTGAGTGAGTCTCTGTTTGAGTCTCTGAGTGAGTGAGTCTCTGAGTGAGTCTCTGAGTGAATCTCTGAGTGAGTCTCTGAGTGATTGAGTCTCTGACTGAGTCTCTGAGTGAGTCTCTGAGTGAGTGTCTGAGTGAGTGAGTGTCTGAGTGAGTCTCTGAGTGAGTCTCTGAGTGAGTCTCTGAGTGAATGAGTCTCTGAGCGAGTGTCTGAGTGAGTGAGTCTCTGAGTGAGTGAGTATCTGAGTGAGTGAATCTCTGAGTGAGTCTCTGAGTGAGTCTCTGAGTGAGTGAGTGTCTGAGTGAGTGTCTGAGTGAGTCTCTGAGTGAGTCTCTGAGTGAGTCTCTGAGTGAGTGAGTCTCTGAGTGAGTCTCTGACTGAGTGAGTCTCTGAGTGAGTCTCTGAGTGAGTGAGTCTCTGAGTGAGTCTCTGAGTGAGTGAGTGTCTGAGTGAGTGTCTGAGTGAGTGAGTGTCTGAGTGAGTGAGTGTCTGAGTGAGTGAGTGTCTGAGTGAGTGTCTGAGTGAGTGAGTCTCTGAGTGAGTGAATCTCTGAGTGAGTGAATGTCTGAGTGAGTGTCTGAGTGAGTGTCTGATTGAGTGAGTGTCTGAGTGAGTCTCTGTGTGAGTCTCTGAGTGAGTCTCTGAGTGAGTGAGTCTCTGAGTGAGTTTCTGAGTGAGTGTCTGAGTGAGTGAATCTCTGAGTGAGTCTCTGAGTGAGTCTCTGAGTGAGTCTCTGAGTGAGTCTCTGAGTGAGTGAGTGTCTGAGTGAGTGTCTGAGTGAGTCTCTGAGTGAGTCTCTGAGTGAGTGAGTCTCTGAGTGAGTCTCTGACTGAGTGAGTCTCTGAGTGAGTCTCTGAGTGAGTGAGTCTCTGAGTGAGTCTCTGAGTGAGTGAGTGAGTGTCTGAGTGAATAAATGTCTGAGTGATTCTCTGAGTGAGTCTCTGAGTGAGTCTCTGAGTGAGTCTCCGAGTGAGTGAGTGTCTGAGTGAGTATCTGAATGAGTGTTTGAGTGAGTCTCTGAGTGAGTGAGTCTCTGAGTGAGTCTCTGAGTGAGTGAGTGAGTGTCTGAGTGAATAAATGTCTGAGTGAGTCTCTGAGTGAGTGAGTGTCTGAGTGAGTCTCTGAGTGAGTCTCTGAGTGAGTGAGTGTCTGAGTGAGTGTCTGAATGAGTGTCTGAGTGAGTGTCTGAGTGAGTGAGTCTCTGAGTGAGTCTCTGAGTAAGTCTCTGAGTGAGTGAGTATCTGAGTGAGTGAGTCTCTGAGTGAGTCTCTGACTGAGTGAGTGTCTGAGTGAGTGTCTGAGTGAGTGTCTGAGTGAGTGAGTCTCTGAGTGAGTCTCTGAGTAAGTCTCTGAGTGAGTGAGTCTCTGAGTGAGTGAGTCTCTGAGTGAGTCTCTGACTGATTGAGTGTCTGAGTGAGTGTCTGAGTGAGTGAGTGTCTGAGTGAGTGTCTTAGTGAGTGAGTCTCTGAGTGAGTCTCTGAGTGAGTCTCTGAGTGAGTCTCTGAGTGAGTGAGTGTCTGAGTGAGTGTCTGAATGAGTCTCTGAGTGAGTGTCTGAGTGAGTGAGTGTCTGAGTGAGTCTCTGAGTGAGTCTCTGAGTGAGTCTCTGAGTGAGTGAGTCTCTGAGTGAGTGTCTGAGTGAGTGTCTGAATGAGTGTCTGAGTGAGTGTCTGACTGAGTGAGTGTCTGAGTGAGTATCTGAGTGAGTCTCTGAGTGAATGAGTAAGTCTCTGAGTGAGTGAGTCTCTGAGTGAGTGAGTCTCTGAGTGAGTCTCTGAGTGAGTGAGTCTCTGAGTGAGTCTCTGAGTGAGTCTCTGAGTGAGTCTCTGAGTGAGTGAGTCTCTGAGTGAGTCTCTGAGTGAGTCTCTGAGTGAGTGTCTGAGTGAGTCTCTGAGTGAGTCTCTGAGTGAATGAGTTAGTCTCTGAGTGAGTGAGTCTCTGAGTGAGTGAGTCTCTGAGTGAGTCTCTGAGTGAGTGAGTGTCTCAGTGAGTCTCTGAATGAGTGAGTCTCTGAGTGAGTCTCTGAGTGAGTGAGTCTCTGAGTGAGTCTCTGAGTGAGTGTCTGAGTGAGTGAGTGTCTGATTGAGTGTCTCAGTGAGTGAGTGTCTGAGTGAGTGAGTGTCTGAGTGAGTGATTGTCTGAGTGAGTGAGTGTCTGAGTGAGTGTCTGAGTGAGTGAGTCTCTATGTGAGTGAATCTCTGAGTGAGTGATTGTCTGAGTGAGTGTCTGAGTGAGTGTCTGAGTGAGTGAGTGTCTGAGTGAGTGTCTGAGTGAGTGAGTGAGTGTCTGAGCGAGTCTCTGAGTGAGTGAGTGTCTAAGTGAGTGTCTGAGTGAGTGTCTGAGTGAGTCTCTGAGTGAGTCTCTGAGTGAGTGAGTCTCTGAGTGAGTCAGTGTCTGAGTGAGTGAGTGAGTCTCTGAGTGAGTTTCTGAGTGAGTGAGTCTCTGAGTGAGTCTCTGTGTGAGTGAGTCTCTGAGTGATTGAGTCTCTGAGTGAGTCTGTGAGTGAGTGAGTCTCTGAGTGAGTGAGTCTCTGAGTGAGTCTCTGAGTGAGTCTCTGAGTGAGTGAGTCTCTGAGTGAGTCTCTGAGTGAGTCTCTGAGTGAGTGTCTGAGTGAGTGTCTGAGTGAGTCTGTGGGCCTCTCACGTTCAGCACGAGTTGTGAAGATGACACCATCACTGTAGTTTCCCCGGCAAACTCCGTTCGCCATGGCCAGCTGCAGCTCGTAGGATGAGTTCGACTCCAGACCAGCGATGACCAGCAGGGCTACAGACACAGAGAGACATGGAGAGTCAGACACAGAGACGCAGAGAGACAGAGAGAGACAGACACAGAGAGACAGAGACAGACAGAGAGACACAGAGAGAGACAGAGACAGAGCGAGACAGAGACAGAGAGACAGAGAGACACAGAGAGAGACAGAGACAGAGCGAGACAGAGACACAGAGAGAGACACAGAGAGAGACAAAGACAGAGAGAGAGACAGAGAGAGACAGAGAGACACAGAGAGAGACAAAGACAGAGAGAGAGACAGAGAGAGACAGAGAGACACAGAGAGAGAAACAGAGACAGAGACACAGAGACAGAGAGAGACAGAGAGACAGAGAGACAAGAGAGAGACAGAGAGAGACAGAGACAGAGCGAGACAGAGACAGAGAGAGAGACATGGAGAGTCAGACACAGAGACGCAGAGAGACAGAGAGACACAGAGACAGTGAGACAGAGACACAGACAAAGAGAGACAGTGAGATACAGATACACAGAGAGACAGTGAGAGACAGAGAGACACAGAGACAGAGAGACGCACAGAGATAGATACAGTGAGACACAGAGAGACAAAGACACAGAGACAGAGACACAGAGAGATAGTGAGACAGAGACACAGCGAGACTGAGAGACAGAGACAGAGAGAGAGAGAGACAGAGAGACACAGAGAGAGACAGAGACAGAGCGAGACAGAGACACAGAGAGAGACACAGAGAGAGAGAAAGACAGAGAGAGACAGAGAGACACACAGAGAGAGACAGAGAGAGACAGTGAGTCAGACACAGAGAGACAGGGACATATAGACACAGAGACATACAGACAGCTACCTGGTCTGTCGCTCCGCACTAAGCTTCAGGTCTTCTCGGCCACGGTCATTCCCTCCCATCTCTACGCTTGTGAAACGTGGACCCCCCTAATGGAACATCTTTGCCGGTTGGAAACATTTAGACTGGCCTGCCTACGATCCATCCTGGGTTTAACCAGGCTGGATTGTGTGAGGAGCTCACAAATCTTTGAAGATCTGGGCAAGGTCCCATTGGTGAGCTCCTCCTGCAGGCAAGGCTGCGTTGGCTGGGTCATGTAGCCCGCATGCCCAGCCACCGCATGCGGAAACAGCTTTTGTTTGGCCGGATTGAGGGGGCTAAGCGGGCGCGGCACGGGCTAGAGAAGAGATGGAGTGATGTGGTACAGGAGGACGTGGAGCTGAGTGGACTTGCCGATGACTGGTACCAGCGGTGTCAAGATCGGCCTCTGTGGAGGAGGCTCGTGAAGGACGCTACTGGGCAGTTGGAGGCAGTCGCCCTCCAACAACAACAACGGAGAGCGGAGGAGCGACGCTCACAACAACGAGCGGAGCGCCGGGTGGCTAAAGCACAGCAGGTTGGCACAGTAGCGGGCACAGGTGGTGCATCAGCCAGTCATCTCAGTGATCTCAGTGATCTCAGTCAGTCGATCCGTGGCACCTGCTGGGTCTGCCCCGTGACCTCCTGCCACCGGGCGTTCGACACTTCACGTGGCCTCAGGGTGCACATAGCCTGGTACAAGCGTCGTGGTGACGTCACCGCCACTTAGTGGCGAATGGCGGTTGTTGTTGTTGTTGTGGATGGTGGTGATGGTGGTGGTGATGGTGGTGATGATGGTGGTGATGATGGTGGTGATGATGATGATGGTGATGATGGTGGTGGTGATGGTGGTGATGATGGTGGTGGTGATGGTGGTGATGATGGTGGTGGTGGTGATGATGGTGGTGGTGATGATGGTGATGGTGGTGGTGATGGTGGTGATGATGATGATGGTGGTGGTGATGATGGTGGTGGTGGTGGTGATGATGGTGGTGATGATGGTGGTGATGATGGTGATGATGGTGGTGGTGATGATGGTGGTGATGGTGATGGTGGTGATGATGGTGGTGATGGTGGTGGTGATGGTGGTGATGATGGTAGTGATGATGATGATGGTGGTGATGATGGTGGTGATGGTGATGATGGTGGTGATGGTGGTGATGATGGTGGTGGTGATGGTGATGATGGTGGTGATGGTGGTGGTGATGATGATGATGGTGGTGGTGATGGCGGTGGTGATGGTGGTGGTGATGGTGGTGGTGATGATGATGGTGGTGATGATGATGATGTTGATGATGGTGGTGATGGTGGTGGTGGTGATGGTGGTGGTGATGGTGGTGATGGTGGTGATGGTGGTGGTGATGGTGGTGATGATGGTAGTGATGATGATGGTGGTGGTGATGGTGGCTATGATGGTGGTGATGATGGTAGTGATGATGATGGTGGTGGTGATGGTGGCTATGATGGTGGTGATGATGGTAGTGATGATGATGGTGGTGGTGATGGTGGCTATGATGGTGGTGATGATGGTAGTGATGATGATGGTGGTGGTGATGGTGGCTATGATGGTGGTGATGTTGACGATGTTGATAACGACGCTGCGCCACCACTCCCCCCACTCACTCTCTGTGGAGTTGAAGCTCAAAGTGCTCCAGGCCCTGTCCACTGCTGGGAACTCCTCCAGCTGATGATGCTGCTCCCACGGTGACCTCTGTGACCCAGAGGTCAAACGTGACCCCGCCCCCTCGCCGACCCCGCCCACTCGTCCCTGCCACGCCCCCTCGCCGACCCCTCCCTCCCCCCGTGACTCCGCCCCCTCGCCAACCCCGCCCGTCCGTCCCTGCCACGCCCCCTCGCCGACCCCGCCCGCCCCCCGTGACTCCGCCCCCTCGCCAACCCCGCCCGTCCGTCCCTGCCACGCCCCCTCGCCGACCCCGCCCGCCCCCCGTGACTCCGCCCCCTCGCCGACCCCGCCCGTCCGTCCCTGCCACGCCCCCTCGCCGACCCCGCCCGCTCGTCCCTGCCACGCCCCCTCGCCGACCCCGCCCACCCCCCGTGACTCCGCCCCCTCGCCGACCCCGCCAACCCGTCCCTGCCACACCCCCTCTCCGACCCCGCCCGCGCCGCGTGACTCCTCCCCTTCGCCGACCCCGCCCACCCCGCGTGACTCCTCCCCCTCGCCGACTCCGCCCACCCGTCCCCGCGGGTGAAGCGGTGTGCCTTGGGCCCCGACTTTCGGGGGGTGGAGCGACCTCCACTGGGCGGCAGTGGCCACGAGGGGCACCCCACCGTCCCAGGCGGGCCGCTCGAAGGCCACGTGGACT